TCTGTTGTAAAGAACGAAGTTAGTGTTAAACAAGTGCTTTATTTCATAGTCATCATTATTCACATAAAAACTCCACGTAGGATATCTTAGGTCATGATTCGAGTATTTCCTGAAAGAATTCGCTCCGAAAAGCTTTCCCAAATAGTCCAACAACTTTCCAAGTAGAACTCAACGAGCTCTATCCAATCATATCATTCATTTTTTTAGCCCTCTCCCCCCCCCCCCCTCAACCCGAGAAAATCCCCAAATACCATCAAAGAAACGTGTAAAATGTAAACAATTCTCGAAAAACTTGTCGCGATTTGTCCAGGAATACTTTCCAACTTATTCATTGAGTTTCCAGGTAGATCTTAACGTGCTCTATCGAATTTACATCTAGGGCGCTCAATTCCATGCTCTTTTCGCCCTCAAAATCTCCTATCCGCAGCAGAAACCAGGTTCTTCAAACAATACGTGTCGCGATTCGCTCAGACGCACTTTCCAGCAAAATGCTTTAACTTTCAAAGTAGATCTCAACGAGCTCTATCGAATGGACACCTTTGAAGCTCAATTCGACAAACCTTTCCCTTGAAAAACGGTCAATCACAGGTCCCATCCCTAGATTTCTCCTAAGACCTGTAGAGATTCGCCCAGGAGTACTTTCCAACTCAGACATATAACTTTCCAAATGGATCTCAATGAGATCTATTGAATGGACACCATTGGAGCTTGATTCGGTGCTCCCCTTCGCAGAGAAATGTCTAATCCAAGGCTTAATTGTTCAGTTTTTCAATAAAACTTGAAGTGATTCGCCTACGAGTACTTTCCAACTGAGACATATAACTTTTCAAGTACATCTAGTCGAGATCTATCGAATGGACATCTTTCGAACTGGATTCGATGCTTCCCTTCCCAGAAAAATGTCTGATCCGGAGCCCAATTCTTCAGTTTTGCAATAAAGCCCGAAACGATTCGTCCAGGAATACTTTTCAACTGACGAGGGAATATATTCAACTGTCAAATCGATTTTCGACCGGGCATATACGCAAACGATAGACCTCAATGAGTTATTAAATGCCCTAGAATGGTTTGGTTTTCCAGCCTTCTGTTGTCGATTTATGGACCTTTTACTTGATTTTGGCTTATGTGCATAAGATTCTTCTGAGTACCTGGATGATCGAACTTCAAACTAAAATTTTGCCCATAGATAGGCCTTATAAGCACTAGAAACTCCCCAAATTTTGAGCCAGAATGAATATATCCTTATCGAGATACTCACATTTTAAAGAAACGCCTGTTCTGAGCTGTGTTTCAAAACAGAGACATTTTCATGACAAGCTGATATCTCGATAAGGATCCGTTCGCTCTGGCTCAAACTTTGGAAAGTTTCTAGTGCTTATAAGGCCTATCTATGGGCAAAATTTTAGTTTGAAATTCGATCATTTAGGTACCCAGAAGAATCTTGTGCACATAAGCCAAGATCAAGTAAAAGGCCCATAAGTCGACAACAGAAGGCTGGAAAACCAAACCATTCTAGGGCATTTAATAACTCACTGAGGTCTATCGTTTGCGCACATGTTCGATCCAAAAGCGATTTGACAGTTGAATATGTTCCCTTATGAGATATATAGCTTTCCAAGTACATCTCAACGGGATCTATCGAATGGACAGCCTTAGAACTTGATTCGATGCTTCTCTTCTATATGACGCGTAGATTGAGTTTTCCTTTTACAATATCGATATCTGATACAATTATTTATGTTTTCTGAAGAACTAGAAATGTACATGGATGTCATCCTCGTGCATACATAACATTTTCTCTGTATAGAAATGTTACAAAGAAAATTCAACTGTAGAGAAGCTAGTGATAAAACTACAATGCTAGATCCATAAACTAATTGCATGATCATGATAAGTATTAGCATTTTCTTAACACAAAATTAACACTAATGCCAAAGCATTAAATTATCTTTTTAACACTGACGCAAAAGTATTAACTGAATTATTTAATTTTAATACAAAAGCATTAAAAAAAGTATTAATTAATGCAATGCTAACGCTAAGACGACACCCTTATTTCTCCATATAACTTCCTTATAAAGATTTCAGTGATGCATGATTTGGAAAAAAACTAAGGTTATATCATTTAACTATACTGCAATAACGTATTAAGTATTCTAATCTATCAGTGTGAGGTTCAAATGTAATCATTAAAAAAATTATTGAAAATTCGTTTTTTCTGAATTGGTGCATGTATCGAATGAAGTAAAAGAACAGATATACACTAGACTGAAAAGTATGTAGTCAAAGTGAAATCGTCTAGTCTATTCTCTTTCCTGTCCTGTCAATATAGAATAAAGCGTGTGTTTCACACTACATAGACTAATCTAAGTCAAAAGTACGACTGAACTTTTTCTCAGTACAACAATTCACACAACTTTCAACAAAAAAAAGATTTATTTATTAAAGTTAGTATAGATGGGTTTTTTCGTTTGCTTTTGTGTAGACAAAATTATGGGGGTGGGGGGAACAAAAAGAAAAGAAAGACAGTTGAACAAATAAATATTTGAGATGATTATTTTTCAAAATTGATGAATGAATATAATTTTAATGATATAGCTCGAATTCAATTAGTCTTTTTAAAATTTGCATGCAAACAAAGCGCGCCTTATAAAGCTTGTTTACGGCAGTAAATCCTGTATACGGTAAAAATTATCTCTTTTCCTGATGATGAAATTGATAAGATAGTTATATTTAATTAAATTTAAAATCGATTGAAACAGACGAATAGATGATGAAAAATTGGACTAGAGTTCGTATAAAACCCGGGCTCTCTAATATGAAATACTTACATATCTTGATGTAGATGATGATGTTTGTATGACTTATGTAACACATACGAAGGAAAGAATGAATAAGAAAACTAATTCTGAATTAATGAAAATATTAAATTTTCTAGAATAATAATATACTCAATTCTATAGCGTACAATTTGCTCCACACGATGTATTAATTAGTTCTCTACTTGTTATTGATTGTCAAGAAAATAATTATAGATGATTGATTAAATATAAGCGCTTCTTTTCTTTAAAAACTAACAAGATATTTAATTGTGCTCGGAATGCTTGCCGAAAAAGATGCTTCAATTCATGATTTTCACGAACATAAGAAAACCTCTCTTTAATAAATACAATAATCTCATCGATCAGCGTCATGCTCATTCACGGCACCTTCCGTTGTTCCCTAATCCTGTTATCATCAGGCCTTCTTGAAAATGTAAGTGACAATACCCAAATACTTTTTGCTAGTTTTTAAAGAAAAGAAGCCCTTACATTTAATCGATCGTCTATAATTATTTTCTTTAAAATCAATAACAAGTAGAGAACTAATTAGTACATAATGTGGAGCAAATTGTACTCTATAGAATCGAGTATATTATTATTCTAGAAAATTTAATATTTTCATTAATTCAGAATTAGTTTTCTTATTCATTCTTTCCTTCGTATGTGTTACATAAGTCATACAAACATCATCATCTACATCTAGATATGTAAGTATTTCATATTAGAGATCCCAGATTTTATACGAACTCTGGTCCAATTTTCCATCATCTATTTGTCTGTTTCAATCGATTTTAAATTCAATTAAATAGAACTATCTTATCAATTTGATCTTCAGGAAAATAGATAATTTTTACACATAAAAAACAAAAACAAATCTAATATATTCATATTATTTAACTTGTATTATGATCAAAATAGACTTTCCCGCTACATAACCTAGTATAAAAATCATCGACGTAGCAGCCTTTACAACATCTTAATGTTGGCGATGAATTTGGAACTGATTTCTGATAGAATTCATTTAGATCGAACAGCTATATGCATCGAAATTCACTAATTAATGGTAGTATAAAGTATTGTTGACGTTCGCTGCTTTCGAAATAATAGTTGGGGGAAAACAAACTAGTGCATGTTGTAGAGCAAGTTTTGTTCTATCGAACTACCAATACCAGTATCCTGGTTTATTTCACTTTTCTGATCAAATTTTTCAAACAATTTCATTAAGTAGACTTCCCATGGACACATCCAAAAGTGAATTATCAACATCAGATAAAATTTCAAGTATACGATATTCAACATTAGATGTATAAATTATCCCGGAAAGCTCAATATAAAGATAATATCCATTCAAAAAAAAACAATTCGAATTAAAAATATTATTTAGATTTTTAATTCCTCTTCATAATCGTTTAGAAAATGGAGTTAAATTCATTAAATAATATCAAATGAGCATTGTTAATAGAGTTCTCTTGGTAATGAATTTTGAAATGTCTACTTTACAAATTCTTTTAGACTTCGATCAGTTCATTGATCGAAATGTAAATTTTATGATTTTGCAGCAATAACAAAAGAGCCTAATTCTAGTAAAATATTAATATTGTTAGGAAAAAGACGATTCATAATGAATCACAAAAACGATTATTCAGTTTTTTTTACGAGATATTAATTTTTTTGCGATAACCGATATTTGTAGCTTCGCACCGCATTTCGCAGTCCGTCTTTAACTCTTTGAGAGACAAGAATTTGAATATCATTTTAATTATTAAACTTATCAAGCACAACTATTCAAATAAGAAACGTTTATCAATGCTACACAGAATTGTTTTTAGTACCTATAATTCGAATTATGAAGTAAATATTCTCGAAAGACGCATCGATATATACTAATGATGATAATTTTACTTTTTGTCTTTTTTTATTCCAATGTGTCTACTAGCGCCATCTATTCTCTTGTGAATATTTCAGAAAAAAGTTTTCTTTGATGCCAATATCTTCAATTTACTTGCTTTCAATGAAATAGATATTAACTTTTCATTTGTTTTTCTTTCATTCATCCTATATATTAATGATAAACTATAGAATAAATCCATCGAATCAAAACTATATATAATCTTAAATTTTATTTTCTTTAATCATTTTACGAAATAAAAAAAAAGGTTCAATAATTATCTTTTAGTTATGGCTTCTAATCCGATTGAAAAATATCCTTTAAAACGTCGTAAGGATCATGTAAATCGAAATTTTCAACTTTTCGATGATATTAATAAATCAACTAGTAAAAAAATTTCTTCAAAATTCGAAATAATAAAACCAAATATTCGTAAACCTGAATTTATTCTTAGTATACATCATAAAGAAAGTCTTCATATTGATAATGGTCTACGTCCATTAATGTCTTTATTAAAAGAACATAAAGGCAAAGAAATTCATCAATCTGATCCACGTACATCACTTCATATAAAAGGTTTAGATAATATTTATTATAAAACTCGTAAACCATTACAAACACATGATGTATGTAAACGTTTTAAACCAGGTATGCCTGTATGGCTTTATTTTAAAACAACATGTGAAATATTAAATGATAATATATATTCAAATGAAAATGAAATTATTGATTATACACCTAAAGAACGTCTTCATTATGGTTATCGTGGTCGTCTTCAACGTGAACAATTAAAAATTAAACAAAATAAACAAAAACAAATAAATTCTTCAATAACATCTGATCCATTATTAAATTTAACATCAATACGTAAAAATGCACCATTATCAACAATATGTCATATAGTAACACTTGGTTCATTCCTTGATTGTGGAACATATATTGCACATACATCAACATTACCAGATATTGATAAATTTGAAATTGAATTTCGTACAATACCACAATCAATTTATTTACGTTCAATTAAAAATCAAGATTATTTAAATACAAATGATGATTTACTTTATAATAAAATACTTTATTCTGTATTAATACCACATGATAATATTGAATCATATATAATAATTAATCATCAAGATGATTTTATTGATATATTTATTCCATTATTATATACTATTAAACCAATACAAGAAATTGAATTAGATGATTTAGGTACAAGAAAACGAACACGTGCAACAAGATTTCATCGATTTGATACAAAACATATTGCACAATCATCAGTTATTCATGTACGAATACCATTATTAAATACAAGTAGTAAAATGATTAATGATTTAGCTAGTAAATTACTTGAAAATAATATTAAAATTTTATATGGAAATATAAAAATTATCTATCTACCAAATGATTATATTAATTCATATGAAAATTTACAATTTGGAAATTATCTTTGTAATTATGCTTGGCATATGCTTATGTCACTTGGTTAGTTTCTTTTTGATAATTCCAATCTAAACGACTGTTGCTCCTGCGACATTTTCTTTTTCTGTATCTCTTAGTTAGAACTACAAGAAAGCAAGAATTAATTAGAAAAGTATGAACATTCGATATAGATCTTATGTTCACACTTAGATTTATTTCGAAAATAAATGTCACAGGAGCATCTACTAATGAAATAGTCATAATAGTTGCATTGAGACTTCTAACTCAAAATAGAAAATTGTTCCTTTGAATTTTATAACAAATGAACAAAAATATTAATTACTATTGTACATTTTTCAATAACAAAAATTAATCAACTTCCTCGAATTAATTTTTATCTAATGATGCAAATATTCCAATTGCTTCTGAACTGTTGACTATAATTACTAAGTTTTTGGTCTAGTGCACGGTTGTCAGCAGTAAAGTCAAATGAAGATATTTCAATCTGAAATTCTGTCTATAAAAATGAATGTTTCTTTTTCGAGATATTGAATTTTCAAAAAAAAAATCCTCTTAGTACAGACAGGACACAATACTGGAACTGTCTTGAAAATTCAGTAATTATGGTCAAAACTTCGTAGGTACAAAAATCATTAGTTTATTTTTCTTTTCTTTTTAAAACTAGGTTATCGTCTAAAAGATAAATTGACTGATGAATTCGTATCAAAATTAGTCGATATTTCAAATGATTCATCATTATTTTATCATGCATTACGTGATTTATGGAAAACATGTAAAGATAATCGATTTTTGGATATTTATATAACATTATCAAATAATGCAATAAAATATTCTGATATTGGTGCTCGTTGGTTATTTGATTGTACAACACCAAATTATTGTTATGTTCCACGTGTTATTGTAACACCAACACAAATTTTACCACAACCAATGCGTCCAATGAAAGAAAATCGTGTTTTACGTGGTGGAAGATTTGGTTCATCATTTGCATTTTGTCGTGTTTTATTACGTGATGAAGATCTTGTTACAATGTCAGCTGAAACAGTTGAACAATGTCGTGAACGTATATTAGATTTAATAAAACAAGATTTAACAATAGCACAAACAGATTATGAATATCTTCATTGTTCAAATTCACAATTACGTGATCGTTCATTTTGGTTTTATAAACCAAATAATGGTAATACAGCTGAAACTATTCGACAATGGATGGGTAATTTTCGTCATGAATATTCTGTTTCATCATATGTTACACGTATGGCATTGTGTTTTACGGGTTCAATTAAAACATTTACTATACAAAAATTAACTGAAATCGAAGAAATTCCAGATATAAAAACAATCGATGGACGATATGTTTTTACAGATGGTATTGGAAAAATCAGTGAATCAATGATGAGACGTGTTTTTGAAGCATTGGATCTTAATCAAACAACAGGTTATTTACCTTGTGCACTTCAAATACGTATGGCAGGAATCAAAGGTGTTTTAGTTAAAGCACCTGATCTTGGTATTGAAATTTATAATAAATTAAAGTTTAATAGAAAAAAAATTAAATTCTTTTTATTTAGGTTCACGTGAAGTTATTCAAGTTCGTCGATCACAAATGAAATTTGAATGTGATCATTATGATCTTGAAGTAATTGATTATTCAAAACCATGTAATTTAACATTAAATCGACAAGTTATAACATTACTTTCATCACTTGGTGTACAAGATATTGCTTTTTTACATATACAAAATGAAGCACGTCTACGAGCAACAATGGCTTTACTTAAATGTCGTGAAGCTATGAGTTTATTGGATAAAGTTAGATTTTTTGAATTTGAAAAAATTAGTAATTCAGGAAGTATGTTTTCATTTTTGAAATTTTTTTTTTGTTTTTGTTTTCGAGTCATATAAAATATCTTTCATGTCTGTCATAAAAATCTTAATAGAATTTAATCTTTGAGTGTAAAATTAAAATCAATATCTGCTAAAAGAAACTGAAATCATATAGAATATATCATTGAAGTTGAGTTGATCGAAATGCATCATGTTCGTATTTGAAATATCTATCTAATAACCTTTATCATCATGTATACAATAAAAAAATGTCGAATACGATTTGTTTATCGATAGAAAATTTACAATTATAATATTCTTTGTTTTTTTTTGCAGTTGATATATCTCAAGAACCATTTTTTCGTTCACTTTTAATTGCTGCTTTTCGTGATCGATTACGTTGTTTAAAACAACGTTCAAATGTTTCTATACCAAGAGCATATGGACGAGCTATGTTTGGTGTAATTGATGAAAGTCGAACACTTCAGTATGGTGAAGTATTTATTCAACATACATCAAATAGTCAACTTGAATCAGAAATTGTTCTTGGTTATGTTGCTGTTACAAAAAATCCTTGTTTATATCCTGGTAAAATTTATTACAATTTCTTTTTTGTTTTTCAGTTATTTTTCATTATTAAAACAATTTCTTTAGGTGATATTCGTGTATTAAAAGCTATTGATATTCCACATCTACATCATTTACATGATTGCATTGTTTTTCCTTGCAATGGTAATAATCGAAAAGACGGTGGCGCATAAGAACATATTTCGATTTTTCACGTCTGATCTAATTAAATCATATATAGACTATTCAGAAAACAAAGTCGCAGAAAAAGTTTCAGTTATGTAGCCTACGTTTTTTTTCGAACGTACCGATTAACTCGTTTTATGGTCCTTGAAAAGCTTTATCGATTACGAAATTTCATTAACCTAATAATTAAACGGTAAATGGAATGCACAGATATTTCAGATTTAAAATTTAAGATATGATTAAATGAAAATGATGAGAAATTCATGATTTTTCATTCTATATGTATATCAATAAGATTAGACGTTGAAAATCAAACGGAATCGAAATTACATTCTTATGCGTTTCCGTTCTGTCATTTCATTTTTGTTTTCTAAAACTAATAAATTTTAATTCTTAAGGTCATCGTCCACATACAAATGAAATATCTGGTTCTGATCTTGATGGTGATGTGTATTGGGTTTGTTGGTTACCAGATATTGTACCTAATCCTGAAAATCAAATTGAACCATTAGAATATGATATAACAGAAAAAAAACTTCTTGATCATGCAATAACAATTGATGATGTAGCTGATTTTTTAATTGATTATATGGCTAATGATTTTCTTGGTGAATTATGTAATGCACATTTAGCTTGGGCTGATTTAGAATTAGCAACAAGTCCACGTTGTATTGAATTAGCACGTGATATAGCTGCTGTTGTTGATTACCCTAAAACTGGTATTAATCCAGTTAATGATGAAAAACGTCGTGAATTAAAAGCACCACGTTATCCTGATTTTATGGAAAAAGAATTACGTACATATTCAAGTCGTAAAGTACTTGGAAAAATGTATCGTCAAGCACGTTGTGCATATGATTTACATGTTCAATTAGAATATCTTGATGAAAAACATTTTATTGAAATTGATGAAACATTATTATTTGATGGTTTTGAATCTTATTTAGATGATGCTAAACGTCAATATCATTTATATTGTAATAAATTACAACAAATTCTTGATTTATATGATTATAGTACAGAAGCTGAATTAATAACTGGTTGTCAACCATTATTTATTGATGAAAAACGTTCATATGATGCAGCTGATGTTGCTGGACAAGATTTTAAACGTTTACGTACAGATACACGACGAGAATTTTTAAATGAATTTATTCGTTATAATGATAAATATCAACAACAACAACGTAAACGTGATCGTGATCATGATATAACATTAATATCATCAGATTTTAATATAGCTCGTAAACAATTACAAAAAGCATCAGCTTGGTATTATATTGCATATACAGAAGAAAATGATGATCATGAACAATTAATTAAATCAAAATCATTTGCATGGATAATGTGGGATTTTTTATGTGAAATACGTTCACGTAAAGAACGTATACATCATTTATCATCACGTACAATATCTGAAGCATTAAAATCATATTATATAACAATGACAAATGTTAAATCACGTCATATAGCAAATTATGAAAAAGCACGAACAAATTTATATAAATATTTATTAGAAGATGAATGTGAACATTTATTTGAACCAGCTTATTCATTTCTTAATATACCAGATTTAACTGGTACACGTGTACGTGTTATTATTGATTCACATAATCATTTAAATAAATCAAAAACAATAATTAATTTAAATAAACAACAATATGATATTGTACCATTAAATATAAATAAAATAAAATTATTTAATAAAGCAAATAGATTTTATTTTAAATTATTAATGCAACAACCAGCTATTGCAACTGTTTTAGAAATAGCAATTGATTGGGCAGCTAAACATCAATGTTTTACAAGAATGGATAGAGAAGGAAATAAAATTCTTGTTTTAAAACCAGAAATGTTTTTTGAACGAGCACTTAAAGCTTTATTTAAAGATGTTCCAACTTGTTATTTACCATCATTTGATGATGATAATGATAATGATAATGATAACGATCGACATGAAGATAATCATATGAAAATTATTAATGGATCAATTGAAGATGATACAATATCATCTTCATCAAATGATGAATATTCAATTAAAGTTACAAATAAACAATTAAATAAAGATTTATTTTTAACTTATGAACAATGGACTAATTATATGATTGATAAAGTAAGATGATCTTTTTTTTTCTTCGAATTCAAATTATCTGTCTATTTTGATAAAGAAAAAAAATATTGGAACAAATATTTAGTTTTTGGAAAAAAACAAAAATTTTCATCGTTGGATAACCTAATTAGAGACTTTACATGTTTATGTGAAGTTCATTAGAATATTTAATATATGCTCAGAGGTTCTTGATGAGTATATCTTACAGTTAATGACAAAAGTTTCAGTGAATTTGTTTCTTTCATTTTCTATCTGCTTTCAAAAAAAAGTTCCATTTCCAGAATTGATCTTCACCTCAAAAACCTAATTTTAGTGAGAATAGCTGGAAAAAACGGAAAGTGAAATCAGTTCTTAGAAATTTTCTCTTATCGCAATTTATTATGCATCATTGAAAAGAGTATTCAAAACTGAATAAAACTGTATATTTAAAGTTCTAATAGCACCAATTTTTCACATCCATTTTTTTGAAACAAAATTTTTGGGGCACAAGACTCACTTTTCTTTTTTAATTATTTTATTGGAAAAGCAGCCGCTTTTTTCTGTCTATTCTCTCTAAAATCAGGTAGGGAAAAGGTTTTTGTCCACTACTGTATAGATTATTATGGTAGTATTTTATTGAACGATGCTACAAGTTTATTGTACTAATTTTCAATCTTTCAAATATTGAATACTTAATATTCAGACATGGTTTATTATTAAAAGACGGTCATCCTTCTTTGCAATCCACTTATATAAGATCAAAATGATTCTATGACATATGAGTTAAAGTGAGATCCTTTTCAAAAGTATTCATATTTCCGATTCTATTAAGTTATTAAACTCGATCGAAATTTGTATACAAAGTGTCCATTTTTTCTCCTCTTTTCACTGTTTAAAACTGTCGATTGTTATGAGATGATGTTTTCAGCTTATTGAATTTTTAATTGAGTACTTTCAAGTCTAGGTGTTGACATTAGTTCATTTTTTGTCAAAGTTAATAATAGGACTTTATAAAAAAAAAGAAAATCTTCAGATTCGAACGATATGATACAATATGAATTAAACATGACTGGATAACTTTACAAGCCTTTGATTATTTGTGTTTATCTCTCTCATCAGAAGAAAAATCATCGTAAAAAGATTTAATCTTATTAATTTCCATTGATGGAATTCAAATCAAATTAAATCTAGAATAAATGAATAATTTTTATAACATGAATGCTATTTCGTTTTTAGTATATCTGAAAAGTGTCTTTCAAATTAAATTTGTAATAAATTTTCTTTTTTTCTTTGTTTTAGTGGGATTTTCAAGCAATAGCATACAATTTTCAAAAATTAATTCGTGTTTGTAATGATGAAAAAGATATATGTTTTCTCAATGTTTGTCATGTACTTTTATTGGCATTACAAAAGATTGGTATTACTCGAAATCTTGATAATGCACCTATTGATCTCAAAGATTCACTTGTTTATCGAGTAAAATTTTATTAATTGAAAAAAAAAGAAAAACAAGAATATAGTTATTTCTTTTTTTTTTTCTTTGTCTATTTAGTTGGATCAACCATTAAATCGAAATCGTCCATCATCTGTATTAAATGAAAGTGTATCAAAACCAGAATCACTTCCACCAGAATAATCTTTGATTTATTCTAATCTCTATTTTTCCGAATTGATATTAGAATTACTTTTTTTTTTCTACTCTAGTCATTGATAAAGATGTATAAAGTCTCTCTTTTTTTTTTTAGTTGTTATTAGTTTGTTTGTTTTGCATAACAAAGTTAAGCCTGTAATATTTCATGTCGATCTCAGGTTGCCGTTCGTTATCGATACGAACTCTTTTCTTCTTTTGTGATCAAACTTGTCTTTCTTCATCTTGTGTATTATATATATATGTATATATTATTTGATACAGTAGCATATTTCCATCGCTACTTACTTTTCTTCCTATGAACAAAGATGTAGATGCATTATCTACGTTGTTATTCTCAACTTTTTTTCGTTTGTTTTTGCTGTAAATTATAGATTAACTTTCATTACATTTTTGTTATTTAACATGAATAGAAAAAAAAAAGTGAAAACATTTATTATGAATTGCTTTAGTTAAGATTAACATTAACGAAGAAGAAGCAAAGTGTAATGATTATTTGTTATTACAGGTTGTATATTTCTCAATGTTATGGATCACTGTCACAAATGAATTTTGGAATCAATGTTGATAATCGATTAAAATTTAACTAGATCTATTTGATCAATTTTAGAGAAAGCCAATAGCTGCCGGTATTGACTTGTTACCGTTGTGTAGTTATGTTCGAGGTATATCGAACTATAGCAGAAATAGCGCAATTCCTTGCGCAATTAAAAATGTGAAACACGATGTATCTATTATTACTATGGAAATAAAAATTGTTCTGTTCCATTTCTTTGCAATGCTTGAGGATGTGAGTGTTGGTAGGTGTGGAAATATTTCAATAGTTCAAGAACTCCACATCCATACCCGCATTCAACACCCATACCGACCCCACATCGACATCCTCAAGACCGAAAAGATGAATCCTGATTCGACTTCTTTTGTCATTTTATAAATATTCCATATGATTGACACTTAGAGTGTGGGTGTGACTGTAGCTGTTTGCTATTCCCTTTTACCTACACCCACATCCCACACGCCCACTCCCAACCACACTCACACACTCTACCCACACCCCATTTTTTCATATATTCAGTCATTGTTCGTTGAGATCACAGCTCATTGTTCTCATTGACGATATCGGTCAAATAGATAAAATGGTCATATTTGTATAAATATTCACAGTTATAAGTCAAAAAAATATATAGAAGTGATGATAAATATGGAAAATTTATTTGTTACATTAAATGATTTACCAGATGAAATTCTTTTGATAATTTTTACAAAATTAAAGAACGTTTCACTACTCTACTCTTTAGTAGGTGTTAACAAACGACTCAACACAATTGTACGTGATCCAATTTTTACAAGTCATTTAACATTCATGAGATGTTTGTTAGATGATTCCATATACCCCTTACCTGATTCAACGCTTGATCGATTTTGTTCACAAATTTTACCGGTAATTCATTGTCAAATCAAATGGCTTGATCTTGAATCATCATCTATGAAACGTATACTTCGTGCTGTAAATTATCCAAATATATATGGACTTGGTTTATTTGACATTGACTTAGAAACAGCTCAATTCCTCTTTGTTGGTAAGACATTTCAATTCTTTCATTCATTAATAAAAACAAAATATAGATGAAAATTAAAATGATTTATTTGGAATATATATGCATCTTACAAATTGATTTAGATCAATGCATATGTTTGAAAAAATAATTTTCGAATTTACTATTCTCGATGGAAATGAGTTAAAAGAAAATGAATAGTGAAAAAGAATCGCTTATTTTGAAACTTTAAGCATTGATCCTAATAAAAAGAAGAAGAAACTGTAGAATAAAATAAGTGGTTAAAATAAAATGTAATATGAATGATATGGCATTAGAGCTTATCGACTTCAAAAACTTTAGACTGGTACCATATTGCACTATTTTCCGAGCCAGATCCGGTTGATTAGACTTTTTTTTGCACACGACCCGGTCGATACTCATATTCTTAATCAAATTTTTCTAATCCGCCTTGATAGGCGCTCTGAAGATACGGCACACTTATTGCTATTTTAGATTCAGCAATCAGTATACGAAACACATTTATTACGACATCTTGACGGTATTCGTACAAGAATGTAGTCATTGATTTCGATTTCTAAAGTAACAACTATCGAAATCCCGATTCGAACTCATCAAACAGAGCTCTGAGACTCGAAGCAAGACATGCTCTACATAGCATATTCTATTGAACAATTGTAAAGAAGATCACACATGTACATTATAGAATTGTTAAAAAGAAAAACAAACAATATATTGCTTTAATTATCAAAATAATTGTTAAGAAATTTTTCATCATCATTGTATTTAGATGAATATTCTTTAATTCATATATATATAAATCAAATAACATCATTTATTATCGACATAACTAAAAATAAAAATAAAATCTCAATAGAAGGTGTCAATATATTTTTATAACATACACCAATTTACAATATTTAAATTTCAATCCATTTTCAAGTTACAATAAATCTTTATCATTTCCGAATTCATCTCCAACTTTTATCTCCTCAAATCTCTTAGAATTCCATGTCTCTTTGGGAAATTTCATCGACTGTCTTTATATACTTGATGGACGTTTCAATCAACTTCGCACATTTCATGTTAATATTTCTCGCATTTCCGTTTGTGGTCGAAAACTTAATAATAAGGTAAATTATTTTGATTAATATTTAATGTATTCGACCTACGTAGTTCATATTATTTTTTTTTGTAGGAAAAACTACCTAATTTAAGATGTTTTTCGCTACACTCTTATATATTTACAGATGCTTATGATGAATTAATTATACCACTTCTATATCGAATGTCAAATTTAGAAAAACTCGATTTAAATCTTTCTCTTTCTATGAAAAAAGCATTTGTTGATGGAAATGATTTGAAGAAAAATATTATCAATCATATGTTACGATTAGACAAATTTACATTTAATATTCGTTCAGTTCTTCATCTTCATAATGAAATTAATTTACCATCAAATGAAGATATACAAAATACATTTCGTAATTTTAAAAATAACCATATCATTTCTTGCCTCGATTATTTTCAAGAACAACAAAGTAGCCAGTGTCTTATTTATTCATATCCATATAAATCAAAATTTTATAAGTATATAACAAATAATTTTTCAGGTGGATTATTCAAATGTGTTCGTGAAATATCATTATTTGATGTACATCCTTTTGAACATGAATTTTTCCTTCGAATTTCTCAATCATTTCCATTTATGCAAAAATTGGCTTTACGCAATTATAAACCACAAAATAACAAATTATGTAAAGAATCAAAAAATGACAATCAAGATTTATCCATCATTAAATATCCTCATCTTACTAATCTTACACTTAGTAGATCTCATGATGATTATGTTAAACAATTTCTACTTGATACGAAAACATGTTTACCGAATAATGTTCATCTTAACGTCACTTATCAAACCTTGGAAAGGGTGACACCAGGGTTGCCAGATCTTCCGAAATGACAGGAAAAATTCCGAATTTTGACTTTTTTTCCGAAGGCGTTCCGAATTTCCGAGTCCTTCCGAATTGGGATTCTTTTCCGATTTTTTTCCGAATTTTAACATTTTTTGGATCTCATACTTTATCTTGCAATTTAGTAAAATATAATAAGTAGTGCACCATCTCTTTTCTTCTGTAATGACTGCCTACTGTGCTGCGTTGAGGCTAGTTCGAAAAAAAGTCATAGAAATCATTGATTCTCTTCTGGACAGACTAAATTTTAGGCTTAAAAGAAGATAGTGCTTTGCTTAATGGTCGTTAAGTTTTAGATTCGATCATTTTTATTTATGAATGGTGAAGCAGATGATTCAGATTTGAGTGTCAACACAGTTGAAGAAGAATAAGAAATGATGTCTTCAACAATTTCTACTGCTACACTAACAGCAACCACAGTAACAGTTGGTCCAAAATTAAAGAAAAAGTTGTTTTAAAAAAAGGATCAGTTGAATATGAAACAATATTCCTCCTGGTTAGAAGAAGTTAAAAAAGATCAAACACCAGCTCGATGCAAAGCATGTTTACAATCTTTTAGTGTTCGATGCGATGGTAAAACAGCCCTTAAAAAACATATGAATAGTGATTTTCATAAAACATGTATGAAATCCTTTTCCAAAAAGTCGATGACATTCCACCATGTACCTATAATTAGTGAACGACAGTTGAAATAAATAATGCATATTTGTATCTTATAGAAGTGTTTTGAACTATATATATAGTATATACTTTATATTTTGTTTTTTCGAATACCTATATTTTCAAGTGTGATGTAGACAATATTCTTTTAACATAAATACGGTCAATTTATTACCATAAATGTTAAAAACTTGACTTTAGATTTTTCCGAATTAATTAAAAGAAATTTCCGAATTTCTTCAAATTTTCCGAATTTTTCTATAAAAAAATCCGATTTCTAAATTTTTGATCTGGCAACCCTGGGTGACACATAATTTTACAAGAGATGCAACACGAATCAATTGTCAAAAACTGAAGTCTTTATCTATAGATCCTATTCGAATATTTAAACATGTCAAAAACTATTTTCCTCATACAGAAATATTCTGATTCATATTAATGTTTATTTAAATAAAATTGATTTATAAAGAACGAGTATATTAAAATGAAGAAAAAAGTTGTTTTGTTTTTGTATTTGATTGAACAGAACTAAAGTCGTGCATATATGGAAAAAATCACATATGATAAGATGATGCGATTGACAAAAAAAGTAAAAAAATTTCCTTGGAAAAAGCCTTTAAAATGACGTTTATAAGCTGAGTTATTTGGCGGCATTATATAATATGGCATACGTTTTGTTAGAATTCACAGAGTAAAAAGATTAGGACTTTAGAAAAGAAACCTGTTAATATAATCTGTGTTGTATGGATGCGGATCATGCCTAAACACCGAGATGGGGGGGGGGGGGGGGGGGGGGTGGTAAAAAAACAGAAGCGGGGGCGATTATCGTCCTAAAATCCTTCCTACCAGGAGCTCGACAAGTCCACACTAGTGTCCTGCACGGGTGCGACATTCTGCACCTGGAACTGAACCTGACTGGGATGACTGTACCCCGCACCCGTCCAGACGCAGTCGACCTTTAAGAAATTTTTTCGCAGCCATAAAAAATTGTCAAAGTTTTATTTCATATACGGGTCGTTACTTATTTGCGATTTGTTTAACCCTTTACCCATGATAGGGTGTAAAGAGACATGATGCCGATTACTAGTAGCTTATGAAGCATGAAAAGTGATTAAGGCGCCTGAAAAAAGTTACTTTTCGGCAGGATAATCAAAACTAAGATAAATACAGGGAAAGATAGCCCGTGCTCTGGTCTCTCATAAATGACCAACATTTTTACTTGGCACTTCGTTTTTACGAGAGATTTTTGAAGATTTCCGTCATTCTCTATTCGAAAAATAAGCTGTTTTTGAAAAAAAAAATCAAAAATCTTTTTCTTTTTTTCTCGTTTTATAGATTTTCGATCGTATCTCCAAGAATTCTCGAAGGAACTTCATTGTAGCCAATAATTTTTTTTTGGTTTAAAAGCTCATGTTGAGGGCTGGCCCCTCTCGTCACCCTTTTTAAAATAAGTTTTTTTGTTATGATGTAAGAAAACATCTCTGTAGAAACGGCGCCATTTTTTAGGGATTTTTTGAACCATTGAACTTGTTATCCCTTGCCTTCGCTTAAAAGGCAAAAATTTTAAAAAAGAAGCCATGCAATGGGCTAGTCCAAAATACAAACTTTCAAAGAAAAAAATATTTTTATGTATAAAATGAAGATTCACAGAAAATTCTTGGAGATACAATCCAGCTTTTTTGACCCTTGTTTGGCGAATATCACTGTCGAATGTCATGGTAAAAGGCTGAAAATTTTACCATGTCTCTCCCACACCAGTCCTAACATCCTGAAAGTTTCATGCTATTTAGATGTTCCTGGTCTGAGATCGATTTTTGAAGGAGCAGGTCTTAAAACAAAGCACAACCATAAAACATATAAAACAATGAGCAAATATAACATGAGTCATGAGGAACGGTTTGCGGAGTCAAACTACTTTGGTAAACGACCAGAATGCATAGACCATCGACGAACAAGTTGTCACTACTCCAACCCTTTTCCCATATAAGTGTATAGTAAATTACTAAATTATGGTCGAATCGTTTTTAACTCCTGCTTCTCTATAATCAATAATAATCCTAGAAAGTAAAATTACAAATTCAAATGTCATTATCCGCCGGGTCGGGCGGCGAGTTTTTTCAAATTTCTCTACCCGATCCGACCTTTTTATAGCCAGCACCTGAACCAAGTCGGCAAGTTCGTAGCTGGACCCAGGCTTCGGATCAGATCAAATGTCGGGTATCCGATCCGACTGCAGGACACTATGCTTCACACTCTTTATTCAATGAGCATGACACAATGCAGTTGTGCCTAACAATAGTTGGAAAACTTTTTTCTCATATCTATTGGGCTATGATATTTCTTAGAAAATACTGTTTCCGAACACTTACGTATGAACAGCAATATCAAGTTAAAATGCTACGGACAAACATTTTACTAGGTAAGATATGACCCGACATTTACATGTACTTATAGGATGCTCGTTTTCATTTAAACTTATTTGATAATTAAATTGTGAGGAGATTTAAGTGTCGGGTAGATTTAAACACTATGCTAGTTATAATGAAATTAATTAAGTTTTGAATTAGGTCAGTTTGTTATCAGAATAATTTTTAATCGATATTCGAGGCCAGATCTAGAAGAGAAGCGAGAAAGACGGCTGCCTTCTCCTTTAAAATTTATGTATGCTATACTTTAAGTACTTTTCTATATCGATGAGATTTATAGAGACAATTAGGGTGCAGCACTCACTTTTTTAAAGTTTTTAGTACTTGTATTCTGAAATAAACTACTTGAGAGAAGAATACCAACACGTATACATATAAATGGTCTCCACAGTTTTACTTCTTGTATTAAATATTTTTTCTCTTGTTGAATAAGAGAGTGTGGGTGTGGTTGTAGATATTCTTTTCACCCACACCCACACCCTCATCATAGAAATATTATTTCTACAAAGTTTCATTGAGTAACAAGATTTATTTTAACTTGAATTTGAAAATAGTGAATATTCATAACATTGCAGTTAGAAAATGAATTTTATCCAAACAATCTCTTGAAATTTTTTCCAAGTTCATAATAAAATTTAATGAAAAATATCGCAGAAATTTATTGAGCAGTTTTCTTATAAAAAAAACGAAGATCTTTAATACATATTAAAGTGAAAAAGTTCCGGTAAATAAGTAAAAGAATGTTTAGATTTGTAACTATCCATTAAGGATTGTTTTACATAAATTTATTTCTTAAGGAGTGTAAGATAAGTTTTAGCTTGAACATAACTTTTTATTTCAAATGATAAATTATCCATAAACTTAAGATAAAGTTTAAATAAAGAATATTTAGCTAATAGATTTGTAGGTTCTTGTTTATCTATTAATTGTAATCGTTTTATTTCTCCTGATGAATGTCCATCAATAGTAATTATATTGAGAGAAATATCAAGATTTGACTATCAAGCAATAAACATAGGAGTTGAGCGTATTCGTTTTGATGATAGATCATATTCAAAGCTTTTGTTAAAGACACTATAGATAAAAATACATTATTTAATAATAAAGATAGATCACTATTATTTACTATATTTAAACTAGATAAATTAATTAATAATATAACTAATTGATTTCAAAGAGATTCATCCTTAAAAACCTAAAAATGTATTCTTGCTTATAAAAGAAGAAAGAAAATAAGAACTAGTCTTGATAAATCCATCGATTAATTTTATTAATTTATCGAAGACTTGTTGTTGAAGACTCTGTTTCTAGTTTCAAATAAAAATAGAATAATTATATACGAAACGAATGGTCGTTTATTTCTGGATATCTCATCAATGTGATAGAACTGCCCTCTGTGAATATTACCCTGACTATTGGCCGTTGTCATTTAACGAATAATAAAATAACATTATTGAACATATGTTTTGCTTCATATGTTATCTTAGAAAGAAATCACGGCGGACGATAAATGTGTTAAAAACATTCTTTGTTTGACTCTATCTTCTCTAGGTATAAAAGTAAGTGTCTTATGTGTTTAGGGCAAACATTACATCGTATTTTTCTTATCAGTCTCTAGTCAATACTGATTTTCAAAATGAGTAACTCAAAGGAGCCATTGGCATTATATATTTTGGCTGTGCGACAAAAACGGCATAATGATGCAGTTCAGGTTTGTTCGTATAATTCATTTGAAGCGTGTTAACATTAGAAAAAATTTGTAGGTTCTTACTGATGTTATCAATACGACAACAGATAAAAATGATTTATTAGAATATCTCCAATCACGTATTGAATCAGCATATTGTGATGAAAATTATAATCGTAAGAAAAATGTTAAATTAGTTTAAAACATATACCAATATAATTAAATTCTTTTTTAGAAATTTTGAAGGATTGTAAAGAACTACAAAATTTGGGCTTTCATTTTGACGAAAACAAGCAACTACTTCCTATTCTTTTGTAAGTCAATATATGCTGTCATTAATTTGTAATTGTTTTTTCTTTGTAGTGAAGCAAAGTATCGAGTTGGATCACAAAAAACCATTGAAGAATTAAAGCAAACAGCAACAAAATGTAAGTAAAAGTTAATGATAAATATTACTTAATTATATGTACTTCTTTTCAGTTGGTCTCGATTTAATGTTAACCCGGGCGAATAGGTTAGAAGTATTCAACTTGGAAGTTTTATTTGAAAAGTTTTAAAGATTTAACATCTCTAATATGAATATTCAAAATGCTTTTCTATTTTAGAGATGATAACAATTCCTCGAAACAATCATCAACAAAAAGAAAAAATAGTTTTTTGTGTGTTGATATTAAAAGCTAGTGGCGGAGCCAGGGTGGGGCTGGGGCTCAGCCTCCCTCCCCCCCCCAGAAACTTTTGAGCCCCTCCCAGGAAAATTTTTGAACCATGTATTTTATTTGCAAACCGGGGCTCAAAGGCCCCTCAGAGGGGGTTGAACCCTCCCCCAGCTCAAAATCCTGGCTCCGCCACTATTAAAAGCTTGTGTTTTTTTTTACTAAGTTTTTTGTAACTTTAGTTGTACTTAAGTAAAAGATTTGTTGATGATGATTCAAATTATTTATGTAAAAGTAAAATAATATATATAAAATACAAACTTTTCAACAAAGACTATAATTTGAAGAGAATACACGTTTTCATTGAATATTTAAAAGTACCTTATGCAAAATATATAGATATATAATGATATTGATAATTATTTTATTAAGAAAGAACAAACGTTATTCGATAGTTTGTAAATTAGTATTACGTTCTTCGACAAACATAAATTAACCAATTAAAATATATATTATCTATCATACACATTTCGTATGAGCATGATCAAGACTAGCAAGCAATATTTTATTTGAACAATGTTCAAGAATCATGAAATACTTGAAAACATATTTCTAGCGATTTTGAGCTGTCGAAATCAGATAAGTCAGCTTGTAAATATAGATGATAAGCTCTTCACGTTAAATGAATTCTTGTTAATAGTTAATGGTTACAGTCTATCTATGAAAGAGACAAACCAAAATGACGATATATTCCACAAGTAGTTTTCCAAAGTGAGAGCATTAGCCTGCTATCTGAAAAAAACGAATTGACACTAGAGCTGATAGTAAGCTTTTCTTAAGAATCGATTAAAAAATATGTTGTTTTCAAAAAGTTGAAAAAAAAGATAATGAACCTTATAATAAAATCTAACGATGATATTAACATTCATCTTAATCCAATACGATATAGAAGAAGAATTTTAACACCTGTTATTGAAATATTAACTAAAATCAATAATGATTCATCGAATGGTTTATAACCATATCGAGTTCGAACACGATTAATCTTTTTATTTTCCTCAAAAATAGAGAGAAAACAATAAACATCTAGTTGGAATAAACAAATTTACCTTAAACATATTAAATTGAAAAAGGAACATATTATCGTATGCATGAATATTTGAATAAAAAATAAATTAATGGAAATGGAAGAATAGCAGCGACTCCATGAAGAATAGGAAATGCAATTATATGAGATGTTGAACGTTCTTTTAAACAATCAATATATGGACGCCATCCTTGCTGGCTACATTTTGTTATCAAATATTCTTGGAAAAATAATCTTTATATCTAAGGCAAGGACACCTTCGCCTTTGATCTCATCAATCATGTGAGTTCATTGAAAAGATTTTTGACGACCTTTATAATTTAACTGCACAACACTTGTTTAGGGATGTGAAGTCTTTTTGAAAAAGTAACAGAGATTCACCAACATTTAGTACACTGATTGCTTGAACACGAGTGTTCGCTGAAGCAGTGACAGAGTCGAGACTGACAACACTGGCATTAGAGTTCACTAAGACACTAATATTTACTAATTTCGAAGTTCATTGGAACGCTAACATACTAGCTCTGCTAAAGAATATATCCTTTTTGAATTTATAAATATCAATGGAAAGTAGTGAAATGGGGATGTGTATCCTTCCAAAGAAATAGCACAAATTCGGGAAATCCGTGTAGTCTAATATTGAAGCTAAATGGTGTCGAAAATTCAACACTGATGCTCTAATGCACAGTATATCGTGACGATGAATATGAATGCTGCTAAAATTACTATTTGTCTAGTACAACTTGTATTAGACCAGGCTTAGTAGTTCCTATATTTCCTGTATATAGGAAATAGCTCTATATTGTTCTATATTTGAACTATAGATTGTATTTTTCCATATTCTAGTGTTACATAGCGCTCATTACTAAATATAAAAAAATTGGATCTTGATTTCAGATATAGAACGATATCCAGCTATTTCCTTTATATAGAAAATATAGGAACTACGAAGCCTGCTGAACTTGTAGAATGGAAATCTAGATATAATATTCACACATAATTATTTTGTTTTGAAGACATAGAACATGTTACATTTTATATTCATTGTCATTTTCAAAGATTCCAGTAAGAGTATAATGCAAATGCAAAGTAAATCGAAGATTATTCTTCAATTGAAAATTTCCATCAAAGGTATAGGAAATACTGCTCAAAGAACTTCCCTATTACAATTATCGAACGAGTATCATGACAAAAATGTCTAAAAAAAAATATTCAATAAAATGAAATTTGAATATAGATTATTCAATGTTCTTGAATAGTAATTCACATTCTTATTCAATATAATTTATAGATGATTCCATAAAAATTTTTATACATATTCTAATAATTATTTGCACAATGAAGAAAAACTTTCTATTAGATTGTAAAACTTGTTCTTCTCATTGTATTCAATTACTTGAAACAAAAAAAAATGAAGAGTATAATTTCAATTCTAACAATATACTTATGATTAACATGACATTGCCGATCGATTTATATACTTATTCGAATAAATACAAAGAAAAATTTGTCGATAGTACAATATTCGACAACATTACCAACATTAGAAAAGTAGCATCGATAGATTTTTCAAAGTTGTATCATAAAAAAACCATTGACTCTATACTCTATTAGCTATGTTTCCGTTATTTTAATACTAGCGAGAGCCCGTGCACGCTGCACGGATGCTTTTTTCCTATAAAGTTCTACGTCTGTCTCTTAGCCTTGATTCGGTAATAAACAATCAGACAGTTCGCATTATACATATAAAGAGACTTTATAGCCTTATACCCTCGTAGTATTACTCTCTTATAGCCTTATACTCTTGTGCTATTACCTCTTTTAGCCTTATTCCGTTATTCCTTATATCTGATGCAGCTTTATCCTATCCCCTGTACCCTTATCTCCTTATACTCTTTTAGTTTTATCCCTTATGCTCCTGTAGCCTTAGCCTCTTATCCCCTTTAACCTTATCCTCTTATAGCTATATACCCTTATTCTCTTACAGCCTCATATCCCTGTAGCCTTATCCGCTACCCCCTTATAGCACTTGCAGAGCTATGGGTACCACTAATATAGTAGCCCTTAGGCCTTCAGCATACAGCCTTATTTGACCTTTGACCCGGCACAGAGATACAGACACTGAACATTATATATATCGATACAAACAAGAAAAGAAAAAACAACAATTCAATCAAGAATTAACCTGACCATGATTTATATGTTCATTTTCAACATGTCTTCTTTTTAGGATAATCATATGCTACTATTTGACAATGTTTATCTATATGAATTTGATATTTTCAATCGAAATTTCTCAAAATTACAATCATATCAAAAAATAAAACATAGTTTACAAATAAGTTTTTTATGATAATTTTATTATTGCTATTTTATTTTATTTTTCAGATAATGATATTCTAACATTTTGTATAATGTTATAAATGAATATTATAGCATGACTTTCCATAGATTTTGCTCTCTTCAAAATATTAAAAATATTCAAGAGGGAAAAATAAATTATAGAATTGTTACGTCAAAATGAAAGTTTTATATACTAAAACTATCGTTCGAATAAAAAAAAAAATATTATTTTATGTATCAGCAGATAAACATAAGACAAAATACAAATGTATTCTTCATATTTATTGAATAGAAGAAAACAAAAGACAATAAGAAAAAAAAGAAAAATGCTAAGTTAAATAATAACAGAATAAAAAAGTTCTACTGATCATTACGATCAAGTTCATTAGTTGACCAAATACATATGAAGAGAAATTCATTGTTGATCATTACTATTCATTCGCATTCTAGAAGACAAATAGAAAACAATATATAGTAAAATTATTTTATTTAATCAATCAACAAAAGAATTCTAGGATGATTACAATGTGAAAAAGTAAATCGGCAAGATCATATCAAAAATACTTTCTCTTTATTCATTTTTAAGTGAATAAAAATATAATTCATAAGCATAATTCATGATAAATAGAATATTTTTTTTTTACTTATTCTTCTAATTAATCAAACGTATCAGCATTTAATAAAACAAAAAACAAGTCAAACTATTAACAACGATAATAAACAAAGTTTACAACAGTTTTATCTGTTTTTCTATGTTATATCTATCTCATCATGTGAATTCAAATAATATAGATGTGAGAAGAAAATAAGAATAAGTTTCCTATAAGAAATTGATTCGTTGTTTTCAATTAGATATTTCATATCCATAATCAAATTAATTTATTCATTTGCTACTTTTGAACGGTTCAGTTGTTGTTTTAACTAAAACAACATTAACTAGTCAATAATTGAATATCGTTATTGATTTATTTATGTTTCTCCTAGAGTCAACAGAAATTATACATCAATTTTTGTTAACATGATAAAAAATTCAAATAAATCATTCACTTTTAAACTTCATTAGTTATTTATTAACTCGCTTCTTTTTTTCTTCTCGTCGAATTCTACATTCAATAAAAATCATTTTATCTTAAAGAATTTTTTATTTAAAAGAACAAATACTTGATGATGACATCATAGAATTCACCATTGAATAGAGTTTTAGACAAATTATGCTAAAATATCAACAATGTTTCTTTTATTGAGAACGATTAGAAAATTTTATTTCAACTCTAGATAATGCTAAACTCTCATTTGCAATGTTACATTCAATTAAATTATTAAACAATGCATTTCAACTATTTTATATTTTAATTTTCAAATTAATCATAGAAAAACAAAGTTTCAATAGATCAATATGATTTACAACAAATTCACATGTTCATCTTTTCTCAGATAACAAGAACTAATTCTAATTTTAAACAATTTCTATTGA